ATTACACAACTTTAGATAGTGGTAATATGAAGACAATGTAACACTGAAAAATCATCATTTCTAAAGTTGTGTAAAGAAAAAGAAGATAAAGTTTACTTTAAACTACATTTTAAAAAGCAGACATTTTGAAAATACAAAAGTAACAGCGGTAATTGTTCTAATGCAAAATATTATTCAAGTCCCTCTCAACTTTGTAACTTTCAAACTTTGAAAACAAAGGACAAAACTTAAATGTGAAAACTATATCAAGGTGTTAGGAGATTTTGGAAATGTTCTAAAAACTGTAATTGTGATGACAGTTGCAAAACTCTGTAAACATACAAATAAAATCATTGAATTATACCCTTAAAATACATTAATTTTATAGCTTATATGTTGTATGTCAATAAAGTTATTTAAAAAAAAAAAAAGAAGAAGAAGAAAAATCTCTTTCTACAATACCCACATGAGAAAATTCAGGCTGGGATGGGACAGAAAGTGACCCGGGAGTGAAGACTGGCGTGCTCTGAGACACCGGTGTTGAGGCCTGTGGTGACACAAAGGGCTCAGGTGGATTTTCTGTCTCCACTCGTTCATCATCAATTTTCTTCTGAAAAGGCTCTCCTCCTCCTTCCTCAGATAACACTGACATGTCCATTGGCTCATCTGGTTTAAAACAAATGAAAACTAATCATCAACGTTACTCATGTTCCAACAACACAGAAATTCCTGCTTCTACAAAGATAGTGACTTTGTTTTCAGTTAGAAACTACCAGCTGTTCCGCAGGAGAAAGATGAGGCTTTCTGCTCCCATAAAGATTTGCAGCCTTGGAAACTCTGTGCAGGGTCACTATGAGTTGGAACCGACTCCACAGTACTTAACAACAATAACAACAAGCTCCAAAAGCCCTTCTTTAGGAGAGAATCCACACTTCGAAATTATTTAGTTATATATTTAAAATGGAGCTAATCTAGGGATATGTCTTACTCATCCATACGATACTAAATTAACTTGGCTCCTCTGAGTCCTTTTCCTGATTATAACTCAGTTTTATGTATTTGCTTAAGATTAACGATAATAATTTACCTATCGTATAATTCTGCCATAGACCTTGAAAAGCAGCAAATGGATGGCAAAGCAAAGACAGAGGAAGAAAAAAAAAAAAATTCTAATCAGCACTGATTTATCAAAGAACCAAGACATACAAGACACATGAGCCTGACACAGAGAAGGAAACACACACAATAAAACACACTACTTTCCCATGATATAATACCTACCTAAGGCTAAAAGGACCTTCTCCTCAGAGCCAGCCTAGTTAACTAGCTATTTGAATCATAATCCCTCTTCCCTGTTTTGGAACGTGACCCTAACTAACTAAGCTACCTCAAGACCATCCGCCAAACTGCCTACACTATTTAGTTTTTCTCTATACTCATGCTATAGGTCACCTCTATCCCTCCCGTCTCTGACCTCAGTACCCACCCTCACTTGCTGAGCTTGGCCACAGCCTCACAGATTGCAGTTTAGTTCAGTTCTAGGTTAGGGATCTGGTGCTGCAGTCCTTTATAACACTACCATAGCTGGGCTGAGTATTTCATTGTACCTTTTGACCTTTCTTACCATGGCAAATCACTTACTACATACTCATTGCTCTAAAATTTATAAAAACACTGTTGTTGTTAAGTGCTGTTAAGTCAATTCTGACTCATAGAGACCCTGTATGAATCGGAGGAGCAGCTGTTGAGTTTGAACCACCAACCTTTTGATTAACAGTCCATTGCTTATCCTACAGTGCTACACCAGGACTCCTATAAAGGCATTAAGTTAATAAGAAAAACAACAAAAAACACAAATATAAACAGGATATATAATCCTATAGTTATATGCATATAATAAGCAAACACATTAAGTCTAAAATACAGAGAAAATATGTTACATGAAAATAAAAATCATATATACAAACAATCCCAGTTTAATAAAATTTTTTTTTAATATTTATGGATAGAAAACAGGTTAAGAAGAAATATATCCATATACTAATTGTAATTACATCTACATTGTGCTACCACAGGTGATTCTGTTTTCTTCTCATTACTTTCCAAAATTTCTATAATGAGAATTATGTTTACAATCAGGAAACAAAGCACTTTTAGTACGATTATTGTTATTATTTTTTCAATGTTCACACTACAGACAGACAGAAGCAATGGTTCTAAGAATAAACTCAATCTGCATTAAGAGGACTTTTAATAGAATGTAGTGACATTTTTATGTTTTACTGTAAATGTTATTAATCATGCTTTGTTACACATGGACTAGTCCATTTCATTGCCTACATATGATTTCAAGGTCAAAACAGACACAAACTTTGTGGCAAAAGAAAGACAGTTAAGATTATATTTTGTCATGGATAAATTACACTTGAAAAAAAGTTAAATATCCTGCCTCCATGACATATAGTTAAGAAATTTCTCTGTGCCTCAGTTCCCTAATATTTAAATGGGAATGAAAAAGCAATACTTAGCTCTTGCTTGAGAATGTTGCGAGGCATTAATGAGAAAAACTGAAGTGAAGCACCCAGAATAGTGCCTGGCATACACTTTAGGACAAACACTGGACTGCTACTGCAAGATGGGCAGTTCAAACCCACTAGCTGCTCCACACGGGAAAGATGAGGCATTCTAGTCCCGTACACAAGCAGAGCTGAGAGCCCTCCAAAGGGTCACTAGGAATTGGAGTCGACTTGATGGCAGAGGGTTTGGGTCTTTTGTTTTCTTTTATTGTACCAATTACTGGCATATGGAATAAAAACGAGAAAATCGTGGAATTTATTGGGAAAGGCTTTGGAGATAGAATTTAGAAATATTTTTAATGATTTGGATATAAGACCAAGGCAGAGCAAATGAAGTTTAAATAATGAGATAAATTTGACAAGAAAAAAGTACAGCTTTCTTATAAATAAAGTAATCCAAAATCACTAAAACTGCCTAGGGAGTGAAAGAAATAAAAATTTCCACCTCCAGGGCCTAGTCATTCTTTAGCTAAAACTATTTTAATACCAGCAAAACTAAGCTACAAAGATCAAAAACTGTAATTCTGATTTCCTCTCACCAGTAATATGCTACTACTGGGCCTTTAGCAAAAACTCTAGTCCCTGACTATATTAACTCATTACAGTTTGACTTTAAAAATATAAAACATTTCACTTAAGGGTCTTTTATAAAAATTAATTCAACACAGACTTTCCAGAGGAACCAGCAGTAGAAAAGCAAAGAACCAAAAAGAGTACTTTATATGAAGGCATAGCCTAAGGATATAGACCTGAGTGCTATTGAATAACGTAGGTCACAGATTTCTAATGTACACAGTGCATTTCACAAGGCAGAAGTGCTGCTTCTCTTCTACTCTGAAATCAACAGAAACAGGTCATGAGAGCTCACCTTTTCTCCCGCCTTGCTCTGTGGGACTGCTAGGTATGATTAAAGGGGTCGTTCGGAAAGCATCAGGAGAAGGAGCAACAAGATCTGAGGAATTCCTTTAAAGAGAGAATTACAAATTTTTTTTTTAACAAAGTCACAGTTTTGTATTTCTATATTTTTACTTTTTAATAGCAAAAGACACCTAAGTCATTCTGATACTTATTAGCATTTCTACCTACAGCTACCTGCAGCCGGTAGAAAATTCATTAATACTTCAGTAACTATTTCAAATGCTAGACATTTCCAATATGATAATTAAAAAAAAAAATTAAAGGCTTTGTACTGTAATTACATGAGAAAGCAATCACATATAAGGACAGATAAAAAGACAGCACAATTTAAAAAGCAGGATGACCAAATGCTAAAAAATAAATGCATTTACAGATGAAAAATTTAATTTACTCCATTTTTTTGGCCTAATAGGTGCCACCAAGTTGGTATCGACTCATAGCGACCCTATGCACAACAGGGCCAACCTGTTGTGCTCAATCCTGGGCCAACCTCACTATTGTTGCTACGCTTGAGCCCACTGATGCTGCCATTTTGCCAATCCATCTTGCTGGGGGTCTTCCTCTTTTTTTCTG